TGAGATTTTTAAAGGCGCGCCCGCTGGAGGGATAATTAGGCTATTAACCAGGACTTATTTGGAGGAAAACCCGTTTATTTACGACAAACACGAATGAATAAACCATAGTAAATAATAGGAAATTGTTTAACGTTTTAGCTGACGCAGTTTTAAACAGGGCAATTGAAGAATAATCAAGAAATTTGTAAAAATCGGGAGCGAGTGCTTTCTACAAAGGTGAGACGTGAGACGTGAGACTTAGCCGCTGACGACATTTTGGGATAGAAAAAGTTCGTGAGTTTATGTGAGCATTTTGAGCAAAATTAGACAGGTAGAAACATGGACAATAAAACCGCAGCAATTAAAGGTACTTACCGAGCCAAGTGGTAACGGTCAGAAGTTTAATCTTCCATACCGTCGAAAATCTGTTCAAAAAAAAAAATGAATAGCATGTAATCTGTCAAAAACTAACATACAAAACGATAGCCCACTCTCTCGCACTTTGTTGTACCCACGCTGCCATCTATGAACGCAAATGCACAGCTGCTTTCTAATGCCCGTATGCACCGACATACTTTAATCGCGATTAAGCCTTAAACCGGTTTAAAAATCGTAAACGGTATGCACCGTGGACTATTTTGACCTTAAACGCGTTTAACTTTAATCCGCCAACCTCCGAGGATTAAGTTCTTAAACTAGTTTAACTACAGAACATAACCTCTGAAATTGAGGGTTTTGTTATAGATAAAGACGAGGTTTTGTTTTCGTCCTAACAAATTCTAGTCGGTTCGTGTGTTAACTACTTGGAAAATGGAGTTGGAAGAAGAAATGATATTAGACGATGATATTGATGTTTTAGAAATAATTGATTATGGTTTTCCAAGGAGACAATTACTCCGCACAAATTATTTCAATGCACTTGACGAAATGTCTTTTTATAGACGGTTTCGTTGAACAAAGCCGGCCGTTTTTAGATTGCAAGAAGAAATTGGCCACCTAGAATATCCCAGTATCCAAGATTTCTATACTGCTTTAATTGCAAGATTCTGGACATCGTTTTTACATAGTAAAATCGCCAGTAATTTTGTGATACCTTATTGGTAAATTTTCTCAACAGTTAATAACGGTTTTCACCGTTAATATGTCTTTGCCTAGAAGAAAAATCGTTATCTCATATCATTTTTGGCAACTAGCCGCAATGGATGGCGGTTATACTTTTTCCCTTTAACGGCGATATTTAACACGAACGGCGGCACATTCATTGGAACACCGCGTAAAAGTTGATTACTCGAGTCACTAAGACACGGTTGCCTTACAAGGTTTAACTAATCCGCCGCTAAATTTCAACGGTGCATGCCAGCTGGGTTGTTAAACCGGATTAACTTTTAAACGCGTTTAGTTGATCGCGATTAGATAGCTTGGCGGTGCTTACGGCGGTTAGTCATGTAATAATATTAAGATATATTAAGATAAATTATTCATCTTTCAGATAAAAATGTATTTAAAATAAATATATACTTTTTAAGTTTTCTAATTATATTTTCTGCTAATTGCGGAATTTCTAAAAAAATAAATTTTCCCAAGTTGCATACTCTGAGAACATTACTGTTCCGTTTGCTATTCTTTGCGCTGTTGTCGACAAGTAAGAAGACCACTAAACTGCAAAAGCAAAACTATCTTTTTCTCATGGCTCGAACAAAGACAGACCTGACCATGTTTCTGATGCCGTTAATTTGAATCTTTGGTACATTTGGCATCGCAAATATTCCGGCACCAGCGACATCTGAACACGGCGTCAAATGCGCAAATAAAGATAGAACTAACGGCAAATTTCTGTAATGGAGTAAGCGAGAAGATAGTGTCAAGATCTGACAAGTTTTCATATTGACAAACGAACAGTTAATAAATGTTTAGAGTACGTTAATAGATCATAGTGGTTTACTCTTTTACAATTACTTTTTTGATAGTGTTAGATGACCATAATCTGTGCTTTTGATGGCAGGTGTAAACAACCAGTTTCCTTGCTCATTTAATCAGGCTTCCTTTTTGCGAGCCAGAGATCCCAGCATTTTAAGCTGGAATCGGCATGCGATCGAAAAGGTTCGATGTAATTTAGCGACCGAGTTTTCCAGTGTTCGCAGTGGCGATTCTGAGTCTCAAAAGAAAAAGGTAAGTTTTCGTATTCCAATTGATGCACTAACAATTTTGTCTTATCCTGTTGCCAATAAAATCACAATATGATTCAGAATAACTAATTATCAAAATATGGAAGGTTTAAATACTAATTGGAAGTTGTATACCACAACATGTTTATTAAACATATACATACAACAACGTACAGAGCTACAAATGGTAGACTTTAAAGTCCACATTCTTTAACTTCAGTTAAAGAATGTCTTAAAGTATTTTGTTTTTATGTCATAAAGGCAAATACTTTTAATCATTTACCTGCCGTTATTCTGCTTGTGTGTTAGCTGCTTTGATGTGACAATTTTTCTTGATTTCACTAATGGATCCTGATTTCTATGGAATATCTCAGCAACAAACAGAATATTGGGTAACCGTTTTTATTTTTAATACACACCAGCAAAATTAGAGGAAATGGCATAACTCAACAAAAGTTTGAAGTCATTTTTCTCGTGAACGCTGTATCTGATTGGTTTGCTGCTTTTTACCAAATGGTAGCTTAGTTCTTGATGAAGACGTGAATTATTATCGGTTTCGCTAGATGAACCTGCATATCCATATAGCATCGGTGATAAAGTAACAATTTTAACAACATTTAATGATACGATATTGGTGTTTGACATCGTTTGCCCTTAAACTTCTTCAAATTTCTCAAATTTTGTGTCAGGAACAAAAATTACACGGATTTTAGAAAATACCCTTTTTGCATTTTGCCAATTCTTTTCAAATCATTTCTAGCCTTCGTCTCCTAGTACAACCTCGTTTATTTATTGTCAGTTTCATTTCAAAATGAACATCCATAGTCTTATTTGTATATACCACGATACACTTACTAGATAAACACCTTTTCTGTTTATCGTGGTATACAGGGTGGCCATTTTCTGAATCTATGTATGGGTAACTACATTTTTAAAGATACAGAATCCGTTAAATGAGCAAAATTGGGCAGAATTCGATTGCCTATTCATGACCGTTTTCAAAATTTAAGAACCCGACTTGGTTCCTGAAATATCCTGAAAATACAAGAAATCAACACTTTTTTAATTATCACTTATTACGTAACTGATTAACTTGGTTTATTTTTTATCTCGTTAATCAAGTTGTCTATAATAACGAGTGCTAGTTTATTGGATTCAAAGCAAAAAGTTGTACTAAGGGCAGTTAACTTTTTTCTATGTTAAGCAGTTTACATAATAAGTGATAATTCAAAAAGTGTTGATTTCTTGTTTTTTCAGGATATTTCAGTAACCAAGTCGGATACCTACATTTTGAAAACGGTAATGAATAAACAATCGAATTCTGCCCAATTTTGCCCATTTAACGGATTCTCTATCTTTAAAAATGTAGAAGTTACCCATACAAAGATTCAGAAAATGGCCACCCTGTATATATACTGTAAAAAAGCACACAATAAGGGACCTGATTCATATTGTGCTTATGTTGCGAAAGCTACAGCGTTGATTAAAATTGATAGATTTTACAGTGAAGTTACTTATATTTTGGGAAAGTCCAAATCTGTAATTTATAGAAACGTAAACGTTGGAGAGACACGGGAAGTTATCTTCAGTACATATCATAAGAATCAGTAGGTATGTACCAAAGATCTTTTCAGTCGATATCGTATCTTTCTCCCCACTTATCGGAGAAAATGCACGATAATAAAAATAATTATGTTGAGTCGACGACTAAGATTCGTGCTGCTCAAAATATCGAGTAAGTAACAGATGCTCTTACTGAAATCAAAAGGAAGGCAAAGGAGACAATCTCCCTCAAGAAATTATTGACTTGATTAGAAGCATGGCGAGACAAATAGACGGTAGAACACACGTTGCTGACCAGATTTTCTATTGCCTATAAAAAAATACAGTTATTTACGTGTGGGTCAATACAAAAAGCCTTTTTAAAAAAGGTCTTTATTAGAAGCAGGATACAAATGAACTGGTTTCGCTTTGTTTCGAGGTTGCAATTGTAACCTCGGTACAGGTTCTTATCTTTGCTTAGTGTTTAATTAATTATTGCTTACAATTTAAGTTGCAAGAATGTAACTAGTTGTTGAAAACTTTTTTTCATTAAATATCCGGATGGCCATAATTTTTTTATGATCAAAAAATGTCAAGGACCAATCATTCCAACTTCGTATCTAAACCTGTATGAATATAGAGATTCATCTATCAAGAACGATTTACGAGAAATGTGTCTTCAAACTTTTGTTGAATTAGGTATACCGGTTCTCCTAGTTTTGTCGGTGTGTGTATTTTTATGGTTTGAAAGTTGTATATTACTCAATTTTAGAATAGTTGGGAATTTAGGATATACACAAATAGTGTGAGTGGAAAAAGGGTTTAGATCTAAAACTCGAATCGTGTTTATCTTAGATAAACGCGATGGTTTGGGTTAATTGGGAGAAAACAGGGATGTCTATAAAAAAAAATTTAAAACTAATATCTTCGAAACCTCCACTCGAGATTTTTTCAAGCCCTAGTAACGCATTAAAAAGAAACAGGCTCTAGACTTAGATATTTGAAATTGTTTTTGGCCAATTTGTAGAGCAACGTTTATAATATGTATAATGTAACTATGCTAAGATTGTGAGGAATGATAGAGATATTCTATACTTTTCATACATTTTTCCCTTTCTCAACTCCTATTTAAGAAATAAATTGGATACAAATTCACTGAAATAGGTAACTGACGGTTTCGATTTTCACAAATTAAAATGGGAGTGGCGGAAAATCAGGCTTAAACCTCGAGTTAATTTAAACGCTATAAATACATTTTTTCCAATGCTTATCCACATTAATCATCTTTATCGTGTTATTATATTATGTTATCGTGTTCTCCAAAAAAAAACGGAAACAATGTTAAATAATGTATGGATGTAGCATGGGCAGCTTTTTTGATGTGCTTTAAACGAATTCCATATTGGCCCTTACGTTGACAGGAAAGAGATTTAGGGGTCGTTAAAAGAAGCATGTTTACAATGTTAGAACATTTTATCTGTAGTCGTATATGAGAATTCAAAAATCATACCTACAAGACTTTCTTAAGATATAACGTTTGGGATATTGTTTATTTAAAAACACAATATTTTTCGGTCAAAGTCGTGGAAAATATGATAGGAGTTTCAATGAAAATGTCATTTAATGCTTTGTATTGTATTATAATTGTTTTATAACTTCCAAGCTCTAAATTTTAGCTTCACACATTATTTGTCATTGTTCAGGCACTTTTCGAATGCGAACACAATAAATACGATCAATTTGGAGTTTCAGTTGAAAAATATTTTTATAGTAGTTTTAATTTAGCCTTTGTCTTTTGCGCCCTAATTCATGGTGCGGAATTTGTAAAATAACCTGCAATAAATACGGCCGAAATACGAATGTGCGTGTTGAAAACTGTGCTCATTGTAGAGTTAAAATCACTTCCTTGGAAAAGCAGTTTTTAAAACAAATTTTATTTCGATTGACATAGATTTCAGCTTCAAGATACAACTGCTGTTTATTACAGGCCAAGTTAGATTATCGCCATATAAAATTATCTTTTATACTATACTAAATTTCAAAGTCGACCGTCAACGGAGGGATTTTTAAACAGCTCGTATCTTTGCTTATTTTATTTTGATTTCCTCAGCCAGGTAGATTCGCGCCTATTCCATTTGATTTTATTCAAACTGGAAAAATGAAACGACCGCTCTTTTATGAGGAATTGAAAATAGTGAGGTGTTGCAGACATGTAATTTTTGATATATGGTGTCTATCAAAAATAATTCCAACGATTCGTTTCTTAGAAACCATCATCAACTTTTGATTTTCATATTGAAAAAAGTACAAAACGTATTAGATAGCTCTTTTAATAGCGAATTTAACAATGTATAACACAGTACGATTTGTACCGGTGCTTGCGTCAAAAAAAGTATTTTTTTATAAATTATGTCTCTTTAACATCTATAACAACAAATATCCAGAAAAAAGACAGCTTAATAGGTAAAATTTCAGACTTCAAGCTTTCAACTAAAGGGGTATGTGTCATTTACAAAACTGACTAAAACCAGATTAATTTAAATTAAATGAACCTACTAAAACCAGAAAAAAAAGCAAAAATGTTGAAAGTTAGAGGCCGTGCGTAAAAGTAAAATAAATAAACAGTAAAGAAAAGTGCTTCTTTATAGTCATCGCTTCTGATCGAAAAATGGCAGTTTTCTATTCATTCGAATAAAAAAGTATTTTTTGTTTATTGATTTGAAATAATTTCAAAAACGAAAAAAACAACAAAAATAATCACTTTTTCTAAATATCTCAAAAATAAAAAATAAATACCTACTTGACTTTCGAAAATGCTTTGTATATATAATTGCCCCTCGAATTGCCCAACTTTTCCTAATTTAACCGACATCGTATCTATTACGGTTTCGGATTTCTTGGTCACCCTGTATAACTATTAATTAAAGGGTTTTTATGCGGTTTAAGCGGACAGAAAATTTACTGCATTTGGCGGGTATTTCAAATTTTTTCGTAAGTATTTCAAATATTACGTGTCCGCTTAAGCCTCATAAAAACCTTTTTATTATATTACGGACACTAACACATTCATTTATCGAATAATTACTAATGTTTTAATAGTATTTATTGTTAGTGCAACGAAATATAAACTTTTTTATTTTTTGCAATTTTTAGGATGAAACCTTAAACGTATACTTGCGAATTAAGGGTCGAGTTCCTTTCGGTGATTTATACACTATTGAAGACAACGTATTGTCTTGCATTGTCCCAGCAAGTTCTCAAGCTGCAAAGCTCAACCGACAAAATCGCATTATTATCAAAAAATTTTCATTCTCAAAGATATTTGGACCCCACACTACCCAAGATGAACTATTTGACGTAACTGTGAGAGAGAAAGTGTTGGATTTTATTAATGGAGCCAATGGTTCCCTTTTAACTTATGGGGTATCTGGAGCAGGTAAATATTGATAACTAAAGCTAACTAAAAGCAACTTTTTATGGGCAATAATAGAATACATTTTTCCAAGGAAAAACTTACACCATGATAGGCACTCCCGGAGACCCCGGCATAATTCCCCGAGCTCTTAATTACATATTTAGGACAGTGTGCATCAATCCCAATAGTCGGCCTTGTTGTAAACCAATGCCAAACGGTAAAATAGAAATATTATCCAGAAGCAAGCAAGAAGTAGAACTTCAAGTTCGGCAAGGTATTTTTAAAGACCAATCCACGTCTGCTGAACTACTGAAGCATGAACGCACCTTTTTGTAAGTATATTTAAGTTGTCATTGATAACTTGGATCTTAATGAAAGCAGATAACAGATTTTTTCTAAAACTTTTTGTGGGGTATTTTGCCTCAAAAGTGTGTGTGTTTAGAAAGGACAGAATTTATTCACGTCGTTTATTACAAATTGATAAAGGGTGTTCATATTTCTCTATGAAGAACAACTTTTATATCAAAACGTAATAAGAATCTGTCACCTAGCGGTGATAAAAGGAGATATTAAATTGTTAATCAAAGATAATAAAATGGAAATTATTTGAGCACAGAATAAAAAAACTTGTATAGATGAAAAAAAGTGAAATATTCGGCGCGGAGCGTTTATCCGAGGGAATCCATTTCGATTAAAAAGTTCACGTTTAGGCCAATATTTACCAAGTGCGCAAAAATAAAGCTTCGCTGCGATTTCAATAAAGTTTTCAGCTTTTGTAGACTGAAGTGTCTTCTAGAAATTGTGAAATTTGCAAGTTTCTAGTTGCTTTAAATTGAAAGTTAAACGTGCGTTTGCCTCTCAAAATCGGAGCCAATTATCTTTATTTAACAATGTACTAACGTATCAGTTGACACGTGTAGTCCAGTCGGATTAGATTTTTTTCATGCACTACTTAACAGTATTAAAAGTACTTTTATGAAACAAACTAAATTAAAATGCGTTTATTTGTTTACTCAAAAAATTCGCCAACTTTAGGGTTTTTTACATTTTCTTCAATTAATTTACTTTTGCTTCTTAAAAATCGTACTATCTTTGTACACTTTATAACTGAACTTTTACACTAAACGCTTAAATTTTTCGTAAAAAAGTAATCGATGTGGTGATTTTATCTGACAATAATTTGCCCTTTGACTTTTTACATAAAAAAATCCTGATTTTCAACTTAATGTTTAAACAATTTACGCTTCACTAATAAATTTTTCATTTATTGTACGTTGTAGAATTACTCTTTATGAGTAAAATACAGGGTGATTCAAAATTGGCGTCATTCCTATGGAGGTGTTGTCTGGCTGTGTTTTAAAAGCACAGAAAAAATAGTAAAAAAATTATTGTTATTCAAAACTGAGAAATTTGCGAAAAACTACATCAGAAAGACGGCAACAATGTTTTTCAAGGCAATCTGCCTAATTGACATTACGTAAATTGCACATTGCCGTACATTGTAAAACATCATTGCCGCTTTGACTTTTATCCAAAATTGTACGAGAACTTTTTTAATATAAAAATATTTCGTAATTTGAAGCAAATATCGTAATTTTTCTTTTTAAATGCTTAAGTATTCCAATTAAATATGGGACAATTTCAAAATAACGCTATATAACAAAGCTGAAATTCGATTTTCAACCGTTAATATCTTCTACAAATTATCGGAAAATTTTTAAAAAATATTTTCTCGCACACTCCAAGTGAGGCTCTATTACCCCTTAAAAGGAATGACGCCAATTTTAAATCACCCTGTAAACCCTTGACTATCGGACAACTGAATGAGTCTCTCCGACAACTAAAAAAAAACTTATTTAGAATCTGGCAAGATTCTTTTTTACATAACAAATAGGAATGAACAAAAAGTTAAAATATTTTATCTTAAATGTATACCACTTATAAAGTGTACAACGATCTTCAAAAAAGTTATAGTACGATTTTTTAGAAGCAAATCTAAATTATCGTCAAATCTGCTAGTTTTGTAAAAAAATTAACGGATTTTAATGTAGTTGTCTCATATCGTAGGTATTTTTGATACTTGAAAAAGAGAATAAAACTTTTTTCAATAGCATCAACCGTTCAAAAGTTATGCGCAAAAAATCGCGCGCAAACTGTTGTCCCGATATTCTAACACCCTTCCGAACAATAATCTTATAATCGACATCCAATAATCTTTTACCGAAGTCTTGGACCATTGGAATTGCTTCCTGGCGTGAATATTATTGAAGAGGTAATATTGATAATGTTCACTGCAGATGTGAACAAAACGCCATGAAGCAAGCAAATTACCCCACAAAAGGTAGCTAGAATTAATTTAATTAACATGTTGATATTTGTTGCTCAGTATGGATGTTTTTAAAAACTTTTAGATCGATGCAAAACACCTTAAAGGTAACTCCTGTTGGAGTAGTCGACTTTTTTCCACCCATATTTGAAGTGTGGGTATCATTTGTAGAAATCTACAATGAAAACATATTCGATTTATTGGAAGTAAACTCGAACAGAGGACAACAGAGAACTAAATTACAAATTGGAACCTCACATCGCAACACATACATTAAAGGAGTTAAACACATTTTCGTGACTACAGGTACATCTTGAGTTCATTATGTTTAGCTGTTTGCTAATATATGGTATTTATACTTTCACAAGGCTTAGAAGCATACCAGATCTTACAATTTGGCCTACACAACATCAGTTACGCCTCTACGAACCTAAATATGCATTCCAGTCGAGCTCATTGTATATTTTCGATTAAATTAGTTTCGGGAAACAATTGCGAGGAATATAATGTGTCCAACTTCAATTTCTGCGATTTGGCTGGTTCTGAACGCATGAAGAAAACATTAAACGAGGGCGATAGGGCAAAAGAATCTTCGAAAATTAATACGTCACTTAGCGTTCTCGGCAGGTAAGCTTCAATGCAATTGGTTGATTGTTAGTGTTCTAAAATTTATATATGTTGACCGAAATGTTGTGAATCTTTGAAAAGTGGAACATATTGGTTCCATTTTCTTCCTGAAACTGAATAGTTTTCGGGCTGGGGACAGATCAGGGCAATATAATGCTACTTGGATGGGCACTTATGGTTTTGTCTAGATTAATATTTCTGTAATCGATTTTTCAGATGCATCCGAAGTGTCCGTGAAATGCAGAAAAATAACAGCGATATATGCTCTGCACCGTTTCGCGATTCAAAGTTAACACAACTTTTGCAGCAAGCACTTCAAGGCAAGGAGAATATCTGCATGATTGTAAGTGTGGAACCAATAAATTAAAATAATTAGTAACTCAGAACTAACGTTGCTCGTCTCTAGGTAAATATGAGTCCATCACCAGAGACTTTTGACGAAAACCAGCAAGCCTTAATTTTCTCCACTATTGCTCAGGAAGTTGTAGTAAAAGAACCCAAAGCAAATCCGAGTCAATTGCAAGGAGCATTTAGAACGTTTCGCCAGAGCTTGACCAATGGTCTATGTGAAAATGATTTCTCCGGGTATATTATAAAAGCTTCCTTATAATCAATTAGAATAATGTGCAGGTTTATTTTGTTTTCAGTGATGAGTTAAAGGAGGCCCGAAACGACATAGCTCGGTTAACATTAGAAATGTCAGAAATGAAGCAGAACTTCGAAATCATTCTTGATCAGGAGACAAGTCATTTACGCAAAGTGAGTAGTTAAGACGATTTTATGACTTGGCTAATTTCGACATTAACTTGTTAATATTCAGATTAACATAATTTAAAACGTAAACAATATCATATACGTCTACTAATAGTTAATAATCAGCACAAAAAATTGCGTTTTTTCGTCAAATGTGCCTTTTCAATAAACACAATTTTGTTTCAGAACTACAATATAATACTTAATATTAAAACGGAACAGTTGGCGGAAGCTCAACAAGAAATCGAACGACTGAAAAAAAGTAATAACTATTTGGAAAAAACGCGATCTGAACTTCACTGGAAATTGAATAAATTAGAGGAACAGCAAGAAACAATCGTTTTAAGTGACTCGGAGCAGGAAGACGAAGAGAACTCAAGTTTCTCCACAAGAAAAGAAGATAAAGTAGGAGACATCGAAGAACAACATTTACTTCAAGTAAAATTATTGGAAGATAAAATCAAACGTTTGGAGGCAATCATTCGTGAAAAGGAAAGCGAAGCAGATGACCGGAGGTTACACGATGAAGAAAATAGAAAACGCTTGGATGAACTGAATTGCACGAACAGTGAACTTAGGTACTTTAATTAATTATTCGAATTACATTCAAACTCATTTAATTATTCTTTACATTAGGGATGAAATCCGGAAATTAGAACTCACACTGCACGATGCCGTTCGCGATTATTATGAGCTGGAGGAGCAAGAAAAGTCGTTACGCATTGCATTTAATGATTTAACTGCCAGAAACTGCGTGTTAGAAGACAAAAACATTCTTCTAATGCAAGAACTGGATGAATATAGAAACCGGTGTTTACTACAACAGCAAGAACTTGACGATCTAAAAAACTCAAACACAGAAGATATTATTAACTAGTTGCAACGAGAAATAAAATTGAAATAATTATTTAAAGATAATATTTTGTTAATTAAAGTTCAATTCAACAAGTACAAATTATGCTGTGTATTTCTAGTAAAATTACCTTAACTTTTATGTAATCAAAATTTAAAGGCTTACAATCTTTCATAAAAGAAAAAATATCTTTCAGAATCGGATTCCTTTGAATTCTTATTTGATTTTTGAAGATCAGAATATTACATGCGAATAAGATAAAAATTTTAAAATGTATATACAGGGTGTCCCGTAAGCTCAT